GCTCATTTTCTAGAAACTCTCTGCTTACAGTGCACCATTAGCTTGTTCTGGGGTTCTGTTTCCTCCAAGTTTTGGCTCAGTGAGAGGCATTTTTCTCAATTTCCTTTGCTCGCTGGAAGAGAGGGGTAGGGCAAGGACTCTCTGAACCTCATTGTGTGGTATGGTGCCAGGTCAACAAATGACTGCTGACTTTGGTATTTTTCTAGTCTATCACCCGGTGATGGTTTTGATGCCTCCTGTGGTCCGTATCGCCATGCAGGGTCTATGCGCCATGCATGATCCCAGAGCTAGTCTGTGCTGATGTAAAGGTGTCCCTAAGTGAGGTCCTGGGAGCCTCCCTGTCATCTTTTAATTAGACATTAATAATGAAGACTGACATCTATGGAGCTCTTGGCTTCACAGAGCTTATCCCCTATGAACGTATGACATGGCAAGATGGGAACCCCATCACTGAGGTCTTGGGTACAGCTGGTCCATTAGCAAAGAGACTCCTCTGTATTGGGTCCAATCCTACACACACATACCCTGCTCAACTTTATTAGAGGGAGTCCAGAGTTTATCAACCTTTTGAGATGACTTGAAAACACGTGAAATATTAAAGAAAGTAGAAATAGTTGACCTGGAAAGGAGAAGAGCTAATGGAGAACAGTGAGCCTTATCTTCACATAAGATTGTTCCATGGAAATTGATTTGGGGCTTCCCAAGAGGGTATGACTGGAGCCAATGGGCAAGCAAGAAAATGGCACATTTAGCTCAGCCTACGGACAAACTTTCTAATTAGTGCAAAGAATGGCCCACAATGCCTTGGGACACAGTGAGTCCACGGTCATTGGAGGCACGGAAGCATGAGCCGTGTGACAACATGGCAAGGATTTTGCAGGGAAACTGAAGCATGGGTTACAGAGAGAATGTTGGATTAGATGATGTCTGACATCTCTTCCATATATGTGGCTTTTTAATGATGTGGAACCAGTGGTCCCCAATTTCCCAGGGCATTGTGAGCTCAAGATAGATGAACTGACAAAGATACTTGAGTAGTTGATGGAAGAGAAGCTAAGATGAGGCAACCCTGAATAGTATAGGAAAAAAAAAGTCCCTACGACTATACATTGAAAATCAAAGCTAGACTGTCTGACTCCGGGATCCCAGGAAAATAAATGAGTAGGGAGTGTAGATGCAGGATGAATTATTTTTAAAGAAATGCTCACTAAAGCCTTTGTTGGCGGAACACTAAGGAAAGACAAGTTGATGTTATTGTAAATGCAACTGTAGCTCTCAGATGTCTTTGTAATGAGGCTTCCCAGTCAAACGTGGGTTGCCTGTGGACCCATACTGGTGTAAGAAGGGTTGTGTGTTTATGGTCTCCCTGCTCTGAGCAATAGTCTGGATGCCTACCAGCTTGGAATTTTCCTGTTTCAGGTTTAGGATGTTAAAACCCATTTTATTTAAACACATACGTATATATGTTTTTAAAGCAGCAAATGCTATAATGCATGTGGTTTGACTCAGTCCTCTTTCACGGTAGAGAGGTAGAGCCCTGGGCTCGGTGGGAAGGTCACACCTTCAAGTACAGGTGCATTGTCACCTCTTGGTCTTCCCTAGTTCGCCATCGCGTGTCCCCACGCAGTGCTAGAATAGTAGAAAGAGGCCCTCTGTTCCAGTGTACAGCTCTGCGAAATGCCTCTCCTGCCTTATGTGGTGGCATCTTTGTTTTCCATTTCTCTGTTCTGTGAAGTTTCTGATCTGTGTGGAATCCTGACCTGTTATTAGCCACAGTGGCTTTTGTAGGGAGAAGAGCCATTCTCAGGCTGAACGTGACCGTGACCGCCCCAGGACGCTTGCTTCGCAAGGCGTCAGCGTAGCACTTTCAGACTCCTCCTTCCAGTTACGAGAGGTGGGATTTTGTTCTTTTTAAATGGGCTACATATAGATGAGGCCTCTGCTTAGTGCCGTCATATAAATATTATTGGCTGTCTTGAGTCACCTCTCAAAAGAAGAGAGAAAAATAGTCCCGACATCATCCCCTCAAAAGACAAGCCTTATCATGGTCAATGCTACTCAGTTTTCACCCTTTGATTTTGTCTGAATAATTAGATTTTTTCCTATTTCCTTGGCTGGAAGTACTTGGTTCCACCCTGGAGACCCTTACCATGCATAGTGCATATCTCTTCCACGGCTCCTAACAGTCCCTGAAGTAGGACAAACAGAGGACAGGAGCTGTGTCCATAGGGATCCTCGTGCAGTGTCTGGCCCAGTCAGCCCATGTCAGCTGTGGGGACAGAACCACTCCCAGTAAGCTAAGGTCCCCGGGGAGAACACGAAGGCCAGCAGAAGTGCTTCCCTTAACCTACAGAAAAGAGGGAGGGAATTTAACGCTTGGGCTCTTGGAAGAGGAAGGCGAAGCAGGTGGAGCAGTCAGCCTGTGAATCTGGTAATGACCACGTCCAGAGTTTGCCTCGAAAATTGAGGATGTTTAAGGGAGAGAGAAGAGAGGAAATTTTACCCAAAAAATATTGTCCTCTAGCCCTTGTCTGCTACTCAAGGTAGCCCCAGTTGTTTAATACTCCTTTGGCCCAAATCCAGCATTCCAAGAGACGCAAGGGAGAGGCTGTCCTACCCCTGTCTTGTAGCAAGCTCTTCCTCCGAGTGTGGTGTTGAAGCTGACGGCTCCACTGCGCCCATCTTTCTGGCACATACGATGGGGCACGCCATAGAGAAGTTTGTCTCCCCTCACCCCCCTTCTCACACCAGATTCACAGCCAAGAAAGGACAGGCTTGCTGATGCGAAGTGCTGTTGCCCAACACTGAATCGAGCTGCTCCCAAGGGCTAAAGCCAGTACAAACACATTAGCCTCTTTTCCATCTGACAACTTCAAATACCAGGAAAGAAAGTGAATCCCTCCGAGAGTCTCCCTCGGAGCAGTTCCCTGAGAGTAAGGTGGTTGGTTACGAGCCACAGACCCAGCCTTGAGGAGAACTCATTTCTAAGGAAACTGATCCAGGGTTATTTACTGGAGCATTGATCCTGCCAACAACTTACTACCAAAGTCAGCATCTGAAAATCCGGTGAGAAATTTGTGTTTGAAAATGTGAATTAAACAACTCTCGCAAGCTGCTCCGTGGCATTCTGAATTTTGTCTGGCGAGCCGATTCGATGTGTAAGTCTCAGATTTTCCTCAGTTCTTATGAGGGGCCTAGGTCACGTGATGGCCTCTGAGCCAAGTGAATGGGGTACCTACTCAGGCCAGAGACAACCCCCCCTCTGAGATCCTTCAAAACATTGGAGCTTCCCTGAAGATAAGGAGTACATTTGGGCTCAGGAGTTGGGAGTTTTGACTGGAGTGTTTGCCACTTATCTCTTAGTCATTTTTTTTTTTTCAAGAAAGTTCCCAGCGATAACCTCATTAGGATAAGTAAGGCTTACAGTATAAAGAAAAAAACATTATTACGAAATACTGCTCTAAGAATTGAGTTTCGTTGGCTCATAGCATAGTTCTTCATGTCCACTTGCTTCATTATTGTTTCCTGAGCCTGTCATTTTTGTCCTTTGCAAGCTCTGTGGGTGGTAAGAGGCACTAAGGAATTCAAGATAGGTGAACAGCCAAGGGAAGGTATGTAAATGACGATCGGGTAGACCAGCAGAAGGGGTGATTGGGCTTTACGTGAAGGAACATGAGTGAAGGACTAGAACTTGCTTTTTGGGCCCTGTTCAGTAGGATTTTTGTGATTACAGAGTGACAGAGACAAGTCCACTTGACTAGCCCACCACCCACCAACAGACACTCTTAATGCTTCTTAGAGGTTGTTTTTAAAATGTCATCTGATTTATGGCTACCCAGTTCATGAACCCTAAGTTTCAAGAAAGCTCTGAAAAGAAATGTTTGCTAATATTAGCATGCAAATCCGTGAAGGTTTGGGCTGGCTATTGTTGGACAGCCGTGGGGATCTGATTTCATTGGTGCGGCTCTGATTGCTTAAGATTTTAAAAACAAGGTCATCCTTCATGACCTGATTTTTCCGTGGTCTGATAGCCAGATCTATAAAGGAAGAAAGGCAGGCAGGTCAATGACCATCTCAGCTGCTGGGGTGAGAGGTCAAGGGGTGGGATTAAGAGAGGAACCATAGAAACTTACTCCTCTCTTCTCCACCTTGTCCCCAGATCGAGTCTTTCTTGGGGACCTTTCTAATCAACTCTGGGCCATCAGGGAGCTTGGTTGATGTACATTTCACAGGGCTAAGGTCTCCTCTGTCTGCTTCAGTAGTCAGCAGTTCTGGAAAAATGAGAAATGCTCTCAAACAGACATGACATTTGTCTGTGGCGGAAAGCCAATTTGTAAATTTATGGTGTGGAGTGGACCTCCCCAGTAAGCAATATATTTGCTGTTTGGAATGTTCTGTGCAAGCGTCAATGTATATAGCAGAGAGGAAGAGAAGTCAGAATTGGTGATGGTCACAAAAAAATAAAGGTTCAAGGCAAAGGCCTTGAATCAGGCTGTATTGGAACCTATGACGTCATCCTTGTATCTCTCAAGCGTTCATCCTTCCCCATGCCTACGTGTCTAGCACTGTAGATGCAGGATTTCTCTTCTGGTGGTGGTAGAGTGGCGGCCACAACTCTCGTCCTTTTTCTATATTATTTGCCTTTGGTCTCGGTTTTAGACTTTACACTGTATGCTCTGTACTATCTGAAAAGTCCTTCAGATGTGGCTTGCGCACCATGAGCCATGCCTTAAAAATAACAATGTTTGATGAGGTCTGTTGCCTAAGTCAAACCTTTCCTAGTTTTTCCCCTTGAAACGGGTTTCACTCCCTGATGTAAAGATACAGGAAATAATTCTCATGTTCTTGCCAAATTACGAAATGGGGACTGCTGTGAGAAATACTAGACACCATTTTTTTCCCGTAAAAGTAGACTCCAACTCGCATCTTGGTAAGCCCCTGGTGCCGACGTGTTGGCTGGAAGCTCTGAGAGTAGCTAATGTCTGTGTCTCCTCTCCCAGGCCAGTGAAAGGCGTGTCCACCTCGTCGTGTCCCGCCAGGTTCGGCTGCAGAGTCCTGACATCATTCAGGATGCTGGCTGGAACAGCAACGGCAGCCGGTCCCCAGGGCCAGGGGACAGGATCAGCATTCCCAAGGTGAGCCCCAGCTGGGGTGTGTCTGTTCCTCCTGCAGGAAGCGATTTCTTGGGAAGGCTGCACACTTTACCATTTCTAAGTGTAACCTCTGGACTTCGTCACTTGAACACTGTTTGACTTGTCCTGTAAAACAGAAAGCCTAAAGTCCCATCCTCGGGACCTGGTGAGATAACAGGTGTCTCCCATCCAAGCAAGAGGGAAGAAGGTGCAGGAGAGTTTTGAAACCTGATCTTACAGACTTCACAGGGAGACATAGTTTCAAGTCAAAGCCAAATAGATGTCATGTTTTTCCAACAGTCATTTTACTTAAGGACTGTTTTCATTCATTTTGAAATGAAACGGGATTTGCTTGGCTTTTGACTTTTGAAGTTCCCAGTCTGCCTGAAGATTAAAGTATTTTATTAAAAATCAAATTATTTATTATAATTACATATTATATTTCATAAAATTAAATTATTTTAATTAAAAATTAAACTAATTCCTCTGCTAACTTTAGTATGTTTGTTTTTGCAGAAGAACCCAGGAAGATAATATAAACACTTCAAGTTCATGTAACATTAGGGAGTGGTGGGGAATGGGGCAAATCAGAAAACAGATGCCCTATCTTACAGCACTTAAATTCAGAAATAACATCAAATGGTGTGGATTAAGCAGAATGCGTCTATATATTGAATGTATCTTCAGACCGGCAATTTGCAGCCTCTCTTTCAATGAGGTGACTTCACCCAGTTTGTACTTCGGTCTTTGTCTTCTATTAGAGGCAATGCCATAATCTCTCTATTGGATGGCTATGTAAAGCAACACAGACCTTGCTTAGCCCAAAATCAGAGTCCCAAAGCCTTAGTTGGCACCCTATTGTGATGGCAATGAGTTTCTAGCCAGTTCTCCTAAGATCTGATTCCATTAAATCACTTATAACTAAAAAAAAGAAAAGAAAAAACTCTAGGTAGCCCATTCATCTTGCAAGAGGGATTAAGGAATGCCTATTGTAACAATCAGAACACATCAGGCTGAGTTTCAGTTTGGAATAACTCCCAAGTTTGGGTTTTTGAGTCATGGATGCAGAAACAAGACTCAAAATCTTGATTTTTGAAACATGCCGTTAATGACACAGCCTACAAGTCCACACCTCCACCCCTTTTCCCAGCCCGCTAGCCAGCCATGTCCCATAAATCCATACATTTCAGGCTTATTTACAGCAATCTAGACAGAGCAGGCAACTCCTGCTAAAACATTTTATGGATAAGGACTCCCAGGGGTCTTTGACTAGTAAATACCATTAGTGTGTTTAAATTAAACTAATTGTATTTATTAATGGAAAACTAGTTTATTAGCTTAATCTAATTAATTAACTAATTATAGTTGGATTAACTAGACCATATTGTATTCCAGCTCATTAAACCACTAAGCATGAGGCTTCCATCAGCACTGTGGGTCTACAATCCCTTCCACCTAACCACCACGAATCATGCAAAACAGCCAGAATGAGCTGTTCAAAGTTTTGCTGCAGGCTCTGTCATGTATCTAATTCCTGGAAAACATACAGAACAAACTGGCCTGGTGGGAAATTGTAACGTTTTCTTTTTAACTTATGGTTCTGTCTGCCTTTTGAGATGCCCTCACACACACACACACACACAGGGCCTATTTAAAATAAAATGAAGACATGTGGCTCTTTGATGATTTAGGTTTTTATGATCCCACTAAGCTTTGTTTTATCTAGGAAACAACATGGCTTTTTGAAAGTAGGACTAGCTTAAATGAGTCAGAGAAATACCAAAGAAGGCAAACCAAGACTTGTGAGACAGAAAAGTTTGTAGCCAACTGAAAAGTTAAAGACAAACAGGCATCAAATGTAGGTGTGTGGCTACCTCCGTGGACGAGGAAAGGGAAGGTGACCAGAGAGAAATCCCAGGGAGACCTCAACTAGAATGGAAACTGTATTTCTGATGCTGGGTTATAAGGCACAAGGGTAGGTCATTATGTTCATCTTTATACTTTTTTAAAAAATGAGTCTAAAAGGTTTTATTTTAAAAATCCCAATATTCTATGAAGTTTGTATTTTTATAGCTAAGTGATAAGAAGACTGGTGTCCATGATGTTTTTGAATCTACTTGAATTAGTTCATACTAAATTGTGTTTTTGAACATTAGGGAACATCCTGAGCTCTCCGAAGGAGGGAAGGGGGCTTGGGAGAAAACCCAGATGGAAAAGAAGATCTCTTTCGTATTTAACTCTCTTTCCGACCAGAGTCAGGCCACTCAGCGTGGGAAGGGTGGTACTTGGGCTTTCCATTGCTAACATGGGTTTCTCTGGTGGGGAAGGCAGACAGCTGTCAGAAACACAAGACAAAGGACATGTTTTCCGTTTGGGGAGCCCAGGCTTTTGTGTGGATCCCTCAGGTGCTTGAAACCTCTCCTTGGTCAGCACAGCAAGGCTGCTGGGTAAAGCCCTGGACAAGTGTGCAAGAAGACTCCGCTCTCCAGGAACTCACATTCAGAACTAACCAATCCGTGCAGCCAGGAGCACGTAGGTTTCAGCCTCCGAGTCTTATTTGTCATGTATTTTATTGGGCAGAATTGGGTTTGAGTTGAGTTCTGTAGTCAGTGAGATAAACTGTTCCTGGAAAATTGAGGAACGGGTCCTTTCATGTATTTTTCTGACAGTTGTCTGAAAATTGATAGGTTAATTTTTATCACGTGTTAAAACATGACCTCCCAAAGTAGAGTAGTGTGGTGGGAGATCACAGATTTAGTCAGATATCTGGGGTTTCAGTTGCCAATCCCACCTCCCGCCCCCCCCCCCCCCCCCCCCCCCCCCCGCCGCCCCGGCCAGCTGGGGTTCACTGATCAGTTTCATTTTAACATTGAGTCTCAGTTTTTCTGTCTGGACACATTTAAGTAGATAATGAATATTTCTTTCCCTTTCCTCAAGGAATATGTGGCCAAATTGCACATTATTCAAGGAATATTTACTCACAACAAAATAATTAGAGACACACTTATTTTTATTAACTGGTGTAGTGGGTGAGAAGCCATTTCTGGAGTATTTCATAAGATATGTGATTTTGCTACTTTCAGATGGATTTACTGATACATTTTTTTAAAACAGATTTTTGGGGGTTTTTTGGTCTTTTTTTAAAGATTTTATTTATTTATTTGACAGAGATCACAAGTAGGCATAGAGGCAGGCAGAGAGAGAGGGGAAAACAGGCTCCCTGCTGAGCAGAGAGCCTGATGTGGGGCTCGATCCCAGGACTCTGAGATCATGACCTGAGGCGAAGGCAGAGGCTTAACCCACTGAGCCACCCAGGCACCCCACTGACACATTTTTTTAAACAAAATATTCTCAGATCAAAGGTGTTTCTTTGGTCACAGGAGTGCCCTACGTGGGCATTCTCCCCCACTTCGTAAATGAAGCTGGGGGAGCATTGAGTGGTGATGGTATTATACGATCTCCAATGATATTACTGTTAGAGATCCGAATAACAATAATGCGTGTTTAAACTTACTACCTAGAAAGTCAGTTGAATTATTGGAATCTTCCTCTGGACAAATATTATAAATATTGATAAAACTCAATATTGGCAGATGTGGGAAATCAACATGTTCACAAGGTATTGGTGAAATTATACGTGATCAAACTATTTCATATGTATCGAAATGTAAAATGCCCAGGGCCTTTGATTTAGCAGTTGTACTTTGAGGACATTAGCCCAAAGAAATATTTACACAAGTGCACGAGATATGTGTCTAAGGATGTTCACAGTGACACTGTTTAATTTTGCAGGAGACGTATAAACAACCAAAATGGTCATCAGCGGGGGGATAGGACAGAGCCACGTGAAGAAGTACTAGGCAGCTGCTTAAGAATGCAATAGACCATGTGTGCATGCGTGCGTGCATGTGTGTGTGCGTGTGTGTGTGTGTGTGTGTGTGTGTACACATATATTTTTTAATGGGAAAAGGTGTCCTTGTTTTCCAGAGGATTACCATACTGTGTTTTAGACATTACCTTGGGAGCTACCCCTCCAATATCCCTGGCTTCCATGTGGAAATAATGGAAGAAAACAAAACCCTTCTTTGTGAAAATCAGGAGTAAATGCTTTATGAACATCCCCAGGAACGAGCCGGAGGAACAGAGCAGCCAGTAGGAGTCCCTAGTTTAGAACTTTGCCCGGCACTGGGGGCATTTCAGACCTGCCTGCATCTTCAAGTAGGGCTCTTCTGAGCGATGTCTGTGATTATAGGAGGAGACCTGCCGGGTATAACTGCTCTGTGGAAGAAAAAAATCACATACTGAGAATGGACCTAGAGAGTGCCTCCAGAACGACTCTGGAGTGCTAGGACCACTGTGTTCATACTGTTACTTATTTGTCTTATTTGGAAACTTTGCCCTGAAGAAGATCCCATTTCAGTTTATAATTCACTTCTGATAAAGAGTCTCTTCGAGGTTCTGGGGTTTACAGAGACATACAATGGAGACCTTACAAGTACTAATTGTAACATTTGCCTTGGCCATAATAATTTGCAATTCCTGATTCAGTATTTACTACCAAAAACAATTTGTGGCAACTTGTAATTTAACCATCCATTTATTTGACAAACAGAGTTACCATCCTTAATGTGCTAAATGCTGCCTCCGGTGCTAGGGATATAATAGTAACAGGCTATTACTGGATACAATAAGGCCATTAAAACAGGCATGAGTACTTAGATACCATAGAAAATCATGAGATATAAATGAACAAAAAACCTAGGCTTATCTTCATAATGAAGTATTAAAAATGGACTCTTGTGCGTGCAGGCAATAGTTCTCTATGATGTTAACCATCAACTTTACAGAAGTTTAATTATCATGCTTGATCTGTCTGGTCCCCACCTCCATGCCCATAAAGGCACTTTCTTATTTCCAGAGTGTCTTCATGAAAATGCAAATATTAATACAAATTCTCCTCCCTCTTTTAAAACAAAAGGTAGTATACTTACACTTTGTTTTGTACCCTGATTTTGATTTAATTTTCTTTCTTTAGATACAACTGTAAGCTGTGTTTTGAGCTATAGACTTTTCTGAGGTCTGATCAAGTGTTACAAATATTTATTTGCAGTGCATGTTCCCACTTATACCCCGAGGTCACTGCACAAGCAGGGAGAAAACATTTTTAGAAAATTATATGTTGATCTGTATTCATTGATAAACAGTGCCCTTGACTGTCTTATTGCTTCAAGATAATACTGTGGGTAGCTTTGAATGTTTTTCGTTTAAAGCTGTTGAACCAAAATCAGAGTTCTCTTACTTGCTTTTCAAAAGTTGGTCCTCAGTATATGCTATACAATGTGTATACTATATTTTTATGCAATAAAACCAAAGGGTAAAACTGCATATTACTTAGAAATGCTGAAGTAAGAGGGAAGATGCTAATTGGAGGGAGCCCAGTTAGTAGAGTGTTTTTTAGAGTGGAACATCTACAAAATCCATTATTTTTCTTTAGGGAGTTCTATAATTGACTCCCCACCTAAATTAAACTGAGACTATTTAATTAAAATATGGTTATTTTTTTTTAACTTAGAAAAAAATCCTGATACTCAAGAATGACAAGACTTTTATGATACTACTATCAGGAATAAATGAGTCACCTGAAAAATTTGGGGTGCAGTTCACTTTGCGTGTTTACTGTTTCTCCAGTGATCTCCAACCTGTTCCTCTTCCATTTTTTCCATTCCCATTTGAAATGTAAACTTTCTCGGAATCAGCCTGTAGAATTTGGGATAATGCCTCTCTGCTGAGGGTGGGAGGCAAAGCGAGGGTTCTCTCTGCAAGGACTATTGTCATATATTTATCCGACTTGGGTAGTTTTTGTATGTAGAAAACGCAAGCCATCTTGTGAGCCGATGTGCTATGTTTGTTTTTCTGTCTGTGCCTTTAGCCCCTCCATCCTGTGGTCACTTGCCATGAGAAGGTGGTAAGTGTCCGAAAAGACCCCAGCGAATCTCTCGGCATGACCGTGGCAGGCGGGGCGTCACATAGGGAATGGGATTTGCCTATCTACGTCATCAGTGTTGAGCCTGGGGGAGTCATAAGCAGAGATGGAAGAATAAAAACAGGTAAAAGGACACTTCAGGTACTGGGGCAGCGGGGGGTTAAAATGAGTTAGCAGCTTGCTGGATTAGGTCACTGCTTCCAGAATTAAGGAGAGGATGAGAGGCTGAGCTGCCCAGGACCTCTGTTACCCACTGACAATTACTGGTTTGAGTATAGCAGCTGGACTGGGTTTCACCCCTTAGTTTGTGTGGGTTGGTGTGGGCCGCTTGGCTTGCTAATAAGGCAAGTACCTGCAAATATGCCAAGTAATGGGGGAAACTCTACAGTTCAACTAAATAGCATAATTTGGTTCCATTCTTTCTAAGTGGTTCTTGGCAGGATTGGTCCTGTGAGGAACCTCTTCATGAATTGTTCCAGTGTATGGGTTGGATGAGAGACATTCTTTCATAGAGTTTGAGTCAATGACTGTTCAGTGAAAGTACCATGCTAGGTCCTTTCCCACTGTTAAGAAGGTTCCATTAATCTTATGTGTCCCGGGCTACTCTGAATGAAGGAAGGGGATGTCACATATGTGTCCTTAATGATACTGTCAATTTCCATGAAGGGTTAGTTCAGATGGTTGAGCAGCTCTGGCATGTAAGGGCTCAGATACAAGAGAGGAATGTGAAGTTTCCAAAGTACAGTTGCTCGGTGTGAGGAGCCATGGGGCCGGGAGGGGTAGCATGGGGAGGGATTTCTTTGGCCAACCTAACAGTGCATCTTCTGGGGTCAGGCAGGACTCCAAGCCTTTCCCATATGTCTCTTCCTATCTTTTCACTCTTGCTATGGCTATTCTGTGTGAAAAAGAGGATATTCAGTGGAGGCAGAAGATCAGGAGAGAGATAAGAGAATAGAAATTGAAGGTAGGAGAGGTATGTGTTTGTGACTGTCTTGTTCTTCCTTTTCACCCCAGCACCTGGGTGGGGAAGGATGAAGGTCACCAAGAAGTGATTTGTTTGCGAGAGAATGCAAGCAGAGGATTGGGTAGTAGGATGTGTGGAGATGGCCTTGCACAAAGTACGTGCTTGCCCAATGGTAGGAGTACCATCTTTGCAGTGAACCACAATGTTAACTCCTTTTTCCTTCTTCAAGGGTGTAGTTCCTGCTCATTTTTCTTAACTGCTACAGACTCCTCTGCCAGCCACTTTAAGGGTAGTCTCTTAATCACTCATGCAATCCCTATTTCTTGGTTAACTACCATAGGCCAAGATCCATGCAGGCACTGGGAGTTTTTGCCAAATGCCCCCCCTTTGTGCTGAAAACAAGAAATAAGACATGAAGAAATAGGTTTTCTTTGATTAAATAGTAAACGAGGCTAATTTATCTTCCTGCTTTCCTTTTTTTTTTTTTTTAAAGGCAAGAGCCAAACACTAATGTGTATGCTTTAGAAACCTCCAAACAAAACTTACCTTGAAACATGCACCTGCTAATCATTTGCTATCCAAGAACTTGGCCTCATGTCAGTGCGGGAGGCTAATGACAAGCTCCCTCACCCTGCTCACTTTTCCACATCCCACTCCGTCTCTGCCCCTTGGCGCTTTTACGGAAGTTCCTGTTTGCACTCTCACTAAGGATGGCTTCTGCTTGTTTGGCCGCTAGGTGACATTTTGTTAAATGTGAACGGGATCGAACTAACAGAAGTCAGCCGGAGCGAGGCGGTTGCATTACTGAAAAGCACATCCTCCTTGGTGGTTCTTAAAGCTTTGGAAGTCAAAGAACGTGAGCCCCAGGAACGTGAGCCCCAGGAAGCCTGCAGCAGCCCAGCAGCTCTGGACTCCAACCACAACATGGCACCCACCAGAGACTGGTCCCCCTCCTGGGTCATGTGGCTGGAATTACCACGGTGAGTCGCAACGTGACCTGCTTGGAGATGTGTGGGAGGAAACAATAATATTTCTTAGACCACTCTTTTATTCTCTTGGGCTGATTCCTGGCACTAGCATCTTCGTGAACCCCAGGTTGGATTGTAAGACTATTTGAAATAATTCTGTCTTCTCTTCTGTAACTGAAAATTCATGCAGAAAGCCCAGGGCAGAGTGAAAGCTTAGACATGGAAGCTTCGTGATGCACTCAGGTTGAGGACCTTGGAGCTGGCCTGTATGGTTGTGTCATGCAGCAGAGAGAGCTCAATGGACAGGGAGAGAAAGCTAGAATCCAGCCTTCTGGAACCCACCGTGGAACCAGGGGAAGGATTACCTTTCCCTAATTTGCTAGTGGCAAACCTCAGAACTTGCATGGATGTAACCCTTCATTGGTTGGTAAAACCAGCCCTTCATTGGTTTTACCTCTTAAGCATTTGTGGGACCCTGACTGAACAAATTGCAGAAGCACATTTTGCCTGTACCCAGATGTTTGAGCATGACTGAAGGTATGTCTCAGACTCTCTCTCCCTAGTTCCAACTCTTGTGAAGTTTTTTTTTTTTTTTTAAAGATTTTATTTATTTATTTATTTGACAGGCAGAAATCACAAGTAGGCAGAGAGGCAGGCAGAGAGAGAGGTGGAAGCAGGCTCCCCGCTGAGCAGAGAGCCCGACGCGGGGCTCGATCCCAGCACCCTGGGATCATGACCTGAGCCGAAGGCAGAGGCTTTAACCCGCTGAGCCACCCACGCGCCCCTCTTGTAAAGTTCTTATAGAAAACTTGAGGTAGCAGATGGGTTGTCATTTCAGTGAGATGTTAACTAGAGCTTTACGGTGAAGGCATTAAATTGTGTCAGACATTTCAGGAAAATGTTTAAGAGAAGACTTACTAAATGGCTAAAGACAGAAGTTAAATATTCAAAGGACAGATAAGTTGGGGTTTGCACACCTGCATCAGAGCATAAATTCTTGGCCTTCAAAGGATTGCCTTACAAATTCCAAAAGCATGATTTAAATGTTAAGTATTAGAGTCACTGAAGATGAAGCACCGTAGGATTAAATGAATGAAAGTATGATGTTTGGTTTTAGTGCATTTTTCCTGAGGGTGGAGATAGTATGATCTCTCTGTATTTTTTTTTTAATTTTAAAGGAGGTTTTAAAAAACATCCCTGTCTCAAATACACTGACCTAGATTCCTTTGTGAGCCTTTCCTAGTTGATAAATTATTTTTTAAAATAAGTATATTTTTAAACAGTTGAAAATTGAACACTGGGGCTGTTTGAAAACCTTCAAACTTTTTAGAATGGAGTCTGAGAGGAAGAAGAGGCTGTTATTTTAACATTTAAAAAAAAATCTTTCTGAAACCAGCATCTATGAAAGTAGGCCATTTTTAAAAAAATGTTTTGTGCTTGAAAGCTGTTCTTCATGAGTTCAGAGTTCCTCACCGTGCATTCGTGCGAGACAGGACAAATACGAGATGCTTTTTACTCCAAGTACAGCCACATGAATGGCTTCCTCTCCCTCCACTCTTTGTCACTTGGCCTGAGACAGCAGTTCTCTGCTCTTGCCAAAAGGATAGTCTGGATTGTGTTCCCTTCCTTTGAAAGACGTAGACAGGAAATGTGAAATGATGCCAACACAGACAACACTGGTGTTCAGTCACCCTGGGGGCCCCTGGTCTGCTCGCAGTGATATCATCACAGTAGAATCTAAAGGCACCAAAGCGGATATCTACCCTCCCAGACCCACTCAACAGAGGTAATCACGGTTACCAATTCCTTGTGCGTGTTTGCAAGGAAAGCCTATGTCAGGGGTTGGCAGACTTTTTCTGGAAAGGGACGGAGTTGAGGGTTTGAGGGTCATGCTCTGTGTTGCCAGTACTCAGTTCTGCTGTGAGCATGAAAGTAGCCGTCAGTATGCACATGAATGGGCTTGGCTATTGGGTCACGAATACAGGCGGTTGGCTGGGCTGTAGTTTGCTGGCCCCTGGTCTAGGTGTCTGTGTACACAAGCACACACAGTTGTAGTGCATACACTCTGTGTACCATGTTTTTTTTAAAGAAAGATTTTATTACTCATTTGCCAGAGAGCTAGAGAGAGAGAGAGCACAAGCAGGGGGAGCGTCAGGCAGCTGGAGAAGCAGGATCCCAACTGAGCAAGGAGACTGATGTGGGACTTGATCCCAAATGAGCCACCCAGGCGTCCCAGAATTTTTTTGTTTTTTTGTTTTAACTCTTAAGAATATACTCTGGGTATCATTTCACATGAGTATATATCCATGTTGTTCTCTACATATCTATGTTGTTCTCTTCTGTGGCTGATAGTGCTCTGTTGCACAGCTGTACCATGATTGTTGAACAGGTTCCTTTGGACAGCGAACATTTCAGTTGTTTTCCATCTCTGCTTTCGCAAACAATGCTGCAGTAAGAATTCATAAGGAACATACGGGGTAGCCGTTGCACTAGTGCGGGGTCCACTCACCATAGAGCTAGTTACGGAAACCTCAGGGCGTCTGCCTGGCCATGGGACAGGCTGCCTGGGTATAAAAGTATTGGATCACACTCTTGGGTACAGGGTAGGTTTCGCATCACTGTGAGCGAGCATTGAGTGGCCATGTGGACAGGTGGGAGGCCCATCTCTTCCTCTGTATGTGTGGCTTGTCCTTTTCACGTGATTATCAGATGACTGATATTTTGGGTTCTCCTAGGGAGCCTAGATATGTATTTATCTTTTAGGTTTCACGTCTTGCATTTTCTGTTGAATCCTTTTCAACTCCGTGTATTTCCTGTGCTTCCTTCGGTTACTGTGGTCTGTCCTGCATATTCCTTACTGTAGCTTATCCTTTCTGGTTTCTATGTTCATTTTGGTGGTGCTTTTATTCTTCCCTTCCCTCTCTTTCCTCTGTCAGCTCATTTCCTCTCTCGTCTCACATCTTCCTGGAAATCTTACATCTCTGCATGGATCTCAGATTTACAGAGGAATTGTTTCAGCGGTATTTTAAATTCACAGTATGTGGTTGGTTATAAATTTCATTTTCTATGGTAGCGTTTTGTTTCTGTGGCAGCATTTTTCTGGTGAGTGGTGTTTGTGTTACTGCTTTTGCTGTTACTTTTCCTCTTTTCTGTTGTCCTGTGTGTCTGCCTGCTAGTTCTTTTTTTAACTCCGACTTAGTTAAGTTTTTCCTGGACAGGCTATTGGCTGGGGGTTTGTAAGGGGAAGGAACCAGGGCCACCTTCCAAGTGGTAGCAGTGTCTCTTTAGGACACGGGGTTGTGCTGCCTCACTGCTCTCAACCCAAGTTCAGCAGTCCACGTCTCTCCCTTCCACCCAGGCTGCTCCCTGGACATACAGGTTATCTGTTTTCTCGTGGCCTCACGCGTGCCCTTCTTCTCTGTCAGAGTGGGCCCAGGGAAGCTCTGCCAATAGCCAGCCTGCCTGTTTCTGGTGTTCTGCTGTGGAGTGGGCCGCTCCCTGCAGACCCCCAACTGTGGACAGACTGGCTTTCATCTTCCCCCTCGTCCTCTCCCTTCCGCAATCAGTTCTCCCTCATCTGTAGTGACCAGTTTTGTTTCAGCTGGTGTTTGCATTTCTGTTTCCATGTCTCCTAGTTGCCGTTAGAGTAATATTTAAAAGCAGAAGAGGAAACATAATCTTCACTCTGACATTTTGAAACCAGAAGTATGTTCATCCTGGCATCTTTCAGACATCCTTAATTCTCCATTATACTCCTTTATCAGGCTCTTAGCTAGTTTCAGGATGTGAGCACCTAGTCATAACACTGCTACAATTTTTATGGATGGGAATATCTACTCACATCTCTAATCTTGACCATAGAGAGCTTCGAAGACCCCAGTTTCTCCCCAGTTGATGCAATACCATTGGCTTAAATGTCTCAAGTCATTTGGCATGATTGATGTCCTAAGAATTTCAGGCCATTTGTCATACCGAGCAAGCTATTTGTCTGAACTGCTATAGACTGAGGCTAAAAATAGATATTTTTTTTGAATTCACAAGGGCATTTCCCTCCAAGTTATGTATTTACTCCAAAACATTTTCCCCTTACAATTTAACAGATTTTGAGGAAACCTATTTGCCGTAAAGTATGATTCAGTCTGTTACCTAAGATTGTCTACCAATGAAGGAAAATGGCATGTCAGCAGGTCTAGAAATAGGAAATCCTTTTCTAGGACATTGTAATCATGCCCTCAGGTACAGTCCAACACACAGAATGAATAATCATGAAGAAGATAATCATACAGTGAACCAGCAGCTGCCTGTTCTGAACCAGTGGGTGTCAGGTAGGAGGAGTAGCAGGGAGGGTTATACAGGACAATGCAAATATACCTCACCCTTCTCAGTGGTGCCTTGTGTGCCAGGAGTGACCCCTGGGCAGCAGCTCCAGATGGGGGCTCTAAGCTATCCCAGTGATCCATGCCATTCAACTGAAGGGAGATGCAGAAATCACTGAAGACCTTCTGCTTTATCTTCTGTTGGCTTTCAGGCCCAAACTCCACATCTGGAAGTCTTTCAGAACATGCTCTCATCTGGACTAGTATGATAAAGGAGAAATGAGTTAATATGTACTACTCTTATGTAGGCAGAGGGTGCTCTGGGAACCCAGACAAGACTTTGGAGTGAATTAGTGAGAAGAGTGGCAACATTTTTTTTTTTTTTTTTAAACAAACCTCTTTAATGTTTGGCTTGAACAAAAGATACCAGGGCTCTCACATCCACTTCTGCATTCAGTCTGTTGCCAGATCACCTATCATGTGTCCTCTGAGCTGAAATCCTTATAAGAAAATGAGTTTTTTTTAACAAAGGCAAATGTCTTACTATTCTGATTAAAGTATTTTTTGACCTCTAGACCCCCTGAAAGGCACGTACATGGGAACCACACTTTGGTGTGGTATAGAGGCTCAGTGCAATTTTGAGGTCCTCTGAGATAAGGGGAATCCTTAAAGGAGACTGAGAAGGAACAGCCAGTGAAACAGAAAAATATACAACTTCTTGAGCAACCCAAGACTTTGCTGTAGTCCCTAACGTGGAGTTGATTTTTGAAGTAACCATAGTTTTCTCATTGGGAGAAATTACTAAACTCCTTGCTATTCTTTAAACTATGCCAACTCTTCTTCAATGAGGCCTAAATTTAGAGAATGAGTTCAGAAAAGGAAAAAAAGCTCACATTGAGAATTTAAAGTCACTTTATATTTCAACGGTAAATCCTGAACATCACTGATCAAAGCCAGGCTCCACATTTCCCAATGGAGAGTGAAGTAATTCAACTTGAAAAACAAATGCCCAGGACTCATATGTTCCAACTAACCAAGGTCTGACTGTGAAAGGGTTTAACAAACAGAGTTCTTGCTGCTACAGTGAAGTTGAAATACACCAAAGGAAGGAAAGTACTTAGTGAAAAAAAATACTAGTAATACTGCCAGCCCCTTGAATGCACGGTACAGATGGCATGGTTTTTGTCTGCTCTGTCTACTGATCTCCCAGGTGCCTACAGTATGGTACACTCAATAAATGTCTGCTGAAAGATGATCCAAGCAGAAAGATACTTTCTCTCCAGTATCAAAACAAAAATCTAGGAAAATCGACCTAATTCATGATTTAATGTTAGGTTGAAAATTTTATACTGGACATAAATTTTAGATGCTGTGATTTATTTATAGCTTGTCCACATGGAATAAAATACTCAGTTAGAATCAATGTAAGGTCCGAAGTGATACTTAATGGGGGGAGAAAAAAGTGGTCAATGGAATAAGAAATACTTGTTTTGTATTGTCCTATGTACCCATTTATGTTTTAAGGAATCATGGCTGGGAAGTGTTAAGATAGCTATTTGCTCATGACGTTGGGTAAGAATCATCCAATTCATGTCCTTTCCCTCAAATATTGGGCACAGGAATGAATGTAATGCTCGGGTATTTGGAGAACTGCCAATCACCTGCTTTGTATATGAGCAGTGGGTGAGCCATTACATAAATGTGCTCTCTGACATACCACAGCTCCTACAAGGAGAAACTTAACTATTGATTGATATCAAGTCTGTGAAATACAGCTGATGAATATTTTACAATCAAAATATAGTTTTTATTTAATGAAAATCATTCTTCAACTATCAGTGAAAGAAATGGATTATTGTAAATTATATATGACAACAGATACAAAACAAAATTGAACTGAGTTTTACCCCTACATTCTAATTTCAAGTTGGAACCAGCAACACTAGGAAAAGTCACATTATACGAATCAACAAGTCTGGTTAACAAATGTTAATGACCAACTTCATCACTTAACAAAACCTTTCACAAGAGACGTTTTATTGGTTTTTCAAAAAGTGGTTAGTATTTTAAAGTACAGATTATAAACAGAACAATCATATTTTGATTTTTACCAATACGAAAATGCTAATTTTCTTTCAAACCAGTTATTGTACTGGGGGATTTTAGTCAAATCCAGTTCCTGACAACACTAGCTGTCACAATTGTAACACAGTTTACACTTGGCCTGCATCTATCTTAACTGTTCCAGTTACCACCGGATATTAAGAGTTTCTTCCATCTAGTCTATTTTAGGTGAGGATTCTACTCAAAGAATACCTGTGGCCTCTCCTTCTCCCATTCCTTCTATAACTTCCTACTCAGTTTACTATTTTTTTCTCCATTATGACTTATTCTTACAATCTTTATTCAATTTCCACTCACTTTATGCCTGCATGTTTCTCTATAACCTACAAAACATGTAGAACTACATTTAAAGCATTATTTTTCAAAAATCAGAACTTTGGCAAATGCATTCATTATTAGGGTTAGGTTTAAGTGTTTTTTCACTGAGATTAATCATTTAGAGGATTTTTGCCTTCATTAAAATTATATTCACAACTAAAAAATATAATATTGCTAAGTATGCTTGAATTTGGTTCATCAGTAAGGACTTAGGCCTATCCAGTTTGTTTCATAGAAACAGAACATAATAGTATTTTTTTAAAAGGGCGTATAGCAATGTAAAACAATTCAACTAGAAAAAGGCCGCCAAGAGCACAAAGGTCTCTGGGCTTTGACAATTTTGAGCGAAACCCATCCAATGCTATTTAGCCTGAAAAAATGTCAATAAAGAGAATTGGAGATGAATCATAATTATTCCTTAAGAGTTCAACTTAAGTGTGCAGATCTATTGCTTACACATTCTATTTCAGGTACCTGTATAACTGTAAAGATGTTATATTACGAAGAAACACAGCTGGAAGTCTGGGCTTCTGCATTGTAGGAGGTTATGAAGAATATAATGGGAACAAACCGTTTTTTATTAAGTCCATTGTTGAAGGAACACCAGCATACAATGATGGAAGAATTAGGTAATAATGACTAGTTATTACCAATATTTTTATATATGCAAAAGGTTGGCCCCTTAGAAATAATGCATGTACTATAAACCTTGTTTTATTGGTAAAAAAAGAAATGTACATAGCATTCAATTTCTAAAAATTCCTTGGTCCCGTACAGCAACTTCCTGTGCTTTTAGCATCCCTTCTAACAGAAGCTGACTGGAGGGTTTGCACAATTTGAGGGGGTGGGGGGGGTCGGGGAGGAGAAAACCTTAATTAGATATTCCTAATTAGAATTTTTTGTAATTAAAATTGACAGTTGGAGCAAAAACTAGGACCACCAAATACACCTGCACTGATTTCGGCTATGAATCACAATGTTAATCATGTGTTGTTTTATGTTTTTTAGATGTGGTGATATTCTTCTGGCTGTCAATGGTAGAAGTACATCAGGAATGATACATGCTTGCTTGGCAAGGATGCTGAAAGAACTTAAGGGAAAGATCACTCTTACTATTGTTTCTTGGCCTGGCACTTTTTTATAGAATCAATGATGGGTCATAGGAAAACAGAAAACTACAGATAAGCTATGTTGAAACAATGTATTTATCTTGTCCATTTTTTTATTTAAAGGATACACTGTAAAAATGTAAACTAATGTCAGGAAAAATATGATCTAATGAAAGCCAATTACACCTCAGAAAATGTAATTCTCAAAACATAACTCTTATTAATAGTTTTTATTCAGTGTGGAGGATTTCTCACTACTCCACAACTTTATTTTTCTATTCATTAAAAAGCTCTTAAACAGCTGAGATCATTTGTTATTCCCCCACTGAATTCAAATCCTACAATTAAAAATTTGGTATATGCTGAGGTCTATAAAGGGTGTATTATGGGCATTAAAAAAAAAAAAAATTTACAGCCAGAGGATTTTAAAAGTACACTGCTAAGAAATGTTCATCAAATAAGAAATATTTTTCAAATTATAGCTGTCTTTTAGTATGTGATATTAAATTCATTTTTATTTATCACTATTTAAAGGATCCTAGTAATTCTTTCAAAACCATGTCGTTACGATCACCAACAAATACATCCCAAGGCTTATCCCTAAAAATGCTCATAGAATTATGAACTTGTATTCTTAGATCTAATGGGACATGACTAATCTAAAGCTCTTGTCTTTTCATTCACAATTAGCTAGTAACTGTATCAAAACTCCACATGCTGCTCAACCAATGAGCTTTGGAAAAAGCATCAAGGAAGGCCAAACCAGCTTGACCCCAGCTCACAGACAGCCATGAGGCAATTCGAATCTGTGTCACAGTGACGAGGCTTTGTCTCGTGCCTGCTACAGAAACTACCCTCAGGGCAAATTACTTCACAGACACCAGCCAAATGCCTTTATATTTTATTAATTTTTAGAATACAAAAGTTGCCTGTTTAGTTATACCATGAAACCAAATTGAGGACGCTGAAAACCTACCAAAAAGTCATGATATCAAAACTGTATACGAGTTCTTTAATATGCTAAGCAAGAGTGCCACAGCAGTACTGGCAAAATACTTCAAATCTCAACTCAGAGGTGCCTTTTGCAGCGCAACCTTTGAGACTGGTATTTGATTAACTCCAGAAAACTATGGCCAAGGTGCAACCTTGACCTTTATCAGCTCCCGTGTATGTACATAGCTCTTTAAAATTCCCTGCTGAGTGACTCATTCACATTACTTTCTTGGATATAAAGTCATTGCTGTCTTTATTTTTTTAATTTATTTTTTTAAATATTACAAGACAAAGATTTTTAACTTAACATGAAAAATTCACTCTTTTATTTTGAGAAAAAAGTTAACTTTTCATACTAACAGAACAAGATTAAAGGTAAATTTCTTAAACATTATCCAGAAAAATAACAAGATCTATGGTACATTTCTGGCCGTAACACACACACAAGGCCAGAGCCGTGCCTATTCGGCTGGTGCGGCTTCGGTGCTCTCCTGTTCAGGGGCGGGCTCACTGCCAGCTTCTTTTCCTTCTTTGCTTCTCTTAGATTTTTTGTGCTTGTGTCTCCTGTGACTGTCTCCTTCTTCACTTTCATGGCGACGTCTACTGTTACTGAAGAAAAAAAAAGTTTGTTCTTACTGTTTAAGTATACACATGGTGACAAAAATCAACCCACTGTGTGGGTGTGAAGTAATCCATTCTTTTCCTTAAACACATTTAGAGGAGTAACCAGCTTTTTATGTGACTTTTATACGGAGATGGTATTTACATTACAGGCTCACCTTCACTGATAGTATCCTAGCTTCTCAGAGCCCATAGACTTTATTCTGAAAAACTACTATAAATTAGAAACTGAAGCACTAAATCAGAACAGAAAGTACTTTCTAGGGTTGATTTTAGGCAAACAAACAATAGGCATACAATCTGACTATGAGGTCCTGAATTTTCTTTGATTAAGTATTAGTATTACTGGTTCATATGCTAAATAAAGCCCTCTCCCAATAAGATAAGCAGTCCGAGTACTAACTGCAGTCTTGTTAGATTTAAAACTCTTTGTTGAGCCTATAAGGAACCAATTATTTCAACACATTATTCTTAATCTTCCAATTAGGAACACATACGCACTACTAATTATTTGGAAATGTTTTTACTTTCTGAGGTCCAATCAATTGCTCCAGCTTCAAAGGGATTCACTATAAAAGAGCAAACCTTCGAGATGACTTGTGTCTGGTTTCCTCTTTCTCTCTGTGTCGTCTTTCTCTGTGTCGTTCTTCTTTCTCTCGACTTGCTCTGTGGCGCTCGTAGCCTCTTTCTGCATATTCTCTGTATCTGTATCGTTCTTCGTCACTGAAATTGGAATAAAACCTCTTTATGACAATAGGACTGTTTATTCTAATGACTTCAAACTACAAGAGATGTAATCTGAGTCCAAACCAGAAGCCCAAGCCTCCATATTATTATCAGCATCTTATACAGAATAGGTGCAAATAAATATTTGTTGAATTGAGAGGAAAACAATGCCATTCCCAAATTAGTACACATCTAATATAACACATAATTACATGTTAAATGTCCAGCTTTGTTTTGTGCTTTCACAGTTACTGAGTAGAAATTTTACATAACAAATTTTTTTTTCCTTCAAGAACTGGGAGCCGTAACAGACTTAAACTTTAGTCAGCTTCATTTTCTTTCATTCCTTTTAAAATTAAAAGCATGTTTATATATCTCAGACTTCTAACCAAAATTCTTTTAGAATCTTTGTGTGCCCAAGATTTTATAAATAATAAAAATATCTGGTTTGCAATGGCTATGTAGTAGAGAGCAGATGAAGATGCTTAAGTTTTTCAATCACATGAAGAGTACATTGTGCATCCAAAGAAGAGGTAGAGACATTAACAGAGGGACATCAAAGCAACTTCTACAATATCCACACGAAACACAGGCAGAACACTACCTGCGGACTTACTTACAGTCTGACATCCCAATTACTTATTACTACAGCTGTGTGTGTGTGTGTGTGTATGTGTGTGTGTGTGTGTCTGGGATGGGGGGATTCACATGGCTGAGAGCAGCAAGTGCATACACCTGGGCTGTACCTCCAATTTCCTGATTTTGGGTAGAATGAACTGGTTAAACTGGGACTGATGACTAGAGTTAGATAGTATTTCTTTTTTAACCTCCCTAGACTTGTCCTCATTTTGTGTCTCCTCACTTATATTCTGCTCCCCATCTTTCAATCTTTCAATTTTGGGGGGGGGTTCAGCACAGAAGTCAACACTTTCTAAACCTATTATCAGTAACTCCCTTAGAATAAAAATATTTTAGAGCACTATGTACTAAAGAGCTTTGGTTTCTAGAAATCTCTAATATAAATTAAGTCCGTAATCTGCATGACACATCAAGCTGTTAAGGCATATGAATAGAAGTACTGGACAAAGAATGAGGTAAAAGTACAAGCCATATAAAAGAAAAAGCTTAATTACGGTCTCCTAGCAAAAGTAATGATTCAGTAGTGCTACACCTAACAACTATTGCTCACCAAGTTCTTCTTGCCTGAAATACATTCTACATTCAACAAATTTTAAAGTACACCCATGCATATATACGTGTGTGTGTGTGTATCTGTGTGAATACATGGTTCTCTAACCACGAATGCACACTTTAGCATTTGGACACTGGAAGCATGCGCCCTGAAACGCAGTATGTGAGGACGGGCAGCGGAGTAGACTGGGGTCACATCCTGATTCTTAGTGACTACATGTGTGACCTGGGGTAAACTACTTAACCTTTCTGAACCGCAGCTTCCTCATCTGTAAAACTGGCAACAATCATTTTCAAGGTTGTCGGAGAACTGGCAGTAACATTCTGAAGTGCTCAGTACAATAGGAGGCCCTCAGTAAGTGGCAGCTAACACGCAGGCTCCCCATCTTCAGTCAAGTGAATGCTAAACTGTTTTTGAAAGCGGAACCTTTTTGTAAAGGTGACTAACTCTGTAATAACCTTATTGAAGTAGAATTACCATGACAAATGAGTATTATCATGAATAGTATCCTTTTAAAAAAAAGAATACAAGGCCCTCTGAGGCCCTCTTCGTAATAGATTTACAAACTGGATTTACCTAAAAATATAACTAAGGCTATTTTATTATCTCAACTTGTCATTTGTATCTCTCTTTTCCCTCTCAACTTAACACCAATTCTTCTTAGATGTGAGGCCTTTAAGATTCTGAAGACAGCCATATGATGATAGCCATACTTGAAGGGTAATAAAAGATTCGGCCTTATACACAGAACATGAAGGCCCGTCCTTCCATCGCCTTCTGATCGCAGCTGCAGCACAAAGGTTTCTCTGGGCCTGGAAATCATTACAGCTCATTTCAAACACCCTACAATGACCCGCCTTCTTTCTGGCCCACACTTAACAGCCTAAAAACCAGATGTTGAAACAGGTCTATGATTTTCAAAACAATGACCCTATAATTTGTAACACAACACATATGATATGCCATATTGCAAAATGTCAGTCTTTAGGAAAAATGGCCCTTATTTACAGTTCACTGGGATTTCCCAGAGAACACTATTCCTGGGAAAATTCCTAACAACACAAAATTCCCCTACCTTTTGCCTCCTAGGCCTTGAACTTTTAGTCAGACTTACGTAAACATTGATTCTTGATGCCCTACAGCTTAGCAATCTGGAAATCAAATATTGTTAATCATTAACACTTTGTAGTTTCCATAAAAATTAAGTAGCACTTGTGTATGTGTGTGTTTGAAGCTGAAGAATCAGAGAACTTAGCTTCAAATATTCCATAAATATTGTATTATTTATGAACACTAGCAAAGCATTTCATTTTAGTCTTCTTTCCCATCAAGTTTACATTCAGCACTTTAACTTGTGAACATGTATATTCCAGAAATAGCCATGCTATCTCAAATATTTCATTTGAACTACATTAGAAACGATTCAACTTTCTGAAAGTAATGCTCCTGAATAAAATCATGCATTATGTGGCTAAAGTTACCAGCACACACCCCACCACACAAACATAACACTATATGCATACACACACACTTATGTATATATCATATCTTTACTTATTTATAGTCAATAAAATTTTATCAGGTGCCTTCATTGTATAAGTCATTATTAGCAGCTATAGGAAGGAAAAACATTAATAAATCCTATTGTTTCTTATGGCACTTTTTTTTTTTTTTTTTTTTTTAGGTAAAGTTTCAAACTACTAACCAGTCCTAGTCACCTTGATAATAATATATGCTTAAATCGGTAATAATAGTGTATGATCATTTCTGTATCCTCAGCACACAGCTCTGCACCTGGTACATAACAAGGATCAGAAAATGTCAGTTACATGAATGAATGAACTGCCTCCCCCAACCCATAAGAAATAAACCACATAGAGAGTAGTAAAGATAATGAAAAGTAACAGAATTTTTAAACTACCTAATTTCAAGACTGGAAAGAAAATATTTTAAGTAGCATCTCAACCACCTTTTTCAGTTGACAGAATGGCTCTCTACCACTGTCTTCATTTCTCTATGTGTCCATTTCCTCAAGTGCTAAGTTAAAATTTAAATAATCCCTACGGACCTTTTTGGATTAAGAAGTCTGTAATTGCATGATCACATCTAACAAAACAAATGCTGCCTCAATCACGGACATGCTCACATCCGGAAATGATGTATTATTCATCTCATCTAGCAAAATCAGAACAGTCTAAGTACATTTCTTTATCTCATCCATTAAAATAGCTGCTATAAAAACGTTCTGATGCATTTCATTCTACACTGTGATGGTACCAAGACTGATATGTTAGCGATATGCCAAAATTATTGCTTTGATAGACATGCAGGTTGATTTTTAGTGATTTCAAAACCTGTCTGTCCAAACCAAGTTTTAGCCAACAACTTTCAAAACTGTTTCTTCTTTACTATATTCATCTTCTTCCCCTGCGATGTGTTAAGTCATGTTATTCACTGCGTGCCAGGCATTAATGTACAAAGTGCTAAGACTACAGAATGGGAGATGGTGGTCAATGCCCTTCACAGACTTGCTAAGAAACACAGGCTTTAAAGAAGATACATTACTTAGGGAGCATGTGAAGGAAATAATTCAACTTTCTTTTGGGTTCAGAAGAGCTCACAGAAGACAGACATGAGCTGGACCCTGAAGAATGACATTTGTGAAGCAGAGAGGAGAGGAACAACATGAACAAGGAAGTATGAAGTGACAAGGAATTTTCAAGAGCAACCATCTGAGCACAGCTAAAACATGGGGTATACTGGCTTGAGAGAGAACTGGGGTTAACGTGTAGGAAGGTGTAGGCTCGGCAGGGAGCCCGCTTGGGATTCTCTCCCTCTGCCCCTCCCACTCTCTCGCTTTAAAATAAATAAATAAATGTTTTTTAAAATGTAGGAGGATGTAGTGACCTGAACTTGTGGATCATAAGAATTCTGAATCATTCTCTAGGCCAGCAGTACACGCCAGTACCACAGTAGTATATGAATTCTTTCCAGTAGCACAAGAAATTTTAGGGAATTAACCTCTAGATCCACAAGTTCTGTATTCTTTCTTAAATCTAAACTGCTTAATGATACACCAGCACCTTCACTAATTTTACTATGATACATTGACTCAGGGTGTGAAAACCATCCTGGCATTAAAAATATCTAACTTAAAATATTAATGTCAGATCTATTTTATTCAAGTAACAATAAAGCTTTATAAGGCTTTAGGTCTTCCTATCTTACACGTTTTTCTGTCAAGGATAACAGAGTAAGAAACGGGAGTATTCTGTATTCTGGGATGTTCTAACTTCAGATATTATAAGTAGTGTAACAATTCTCCTTGACCTAGTTCAAACAAACAAAAAAACAAAAAACCTACACAAGTCCCTTTGCAGGAAAGCAAATCAAAGTGTTAAGGGGCAGCACCTCATATTCATATACATGAACAGAAAGATAAAGTCAGACTTCTCTGATAAAAATGGAGTGTGATGTAGCTGTCAAGCTCGACAAGAGCTGTCTCTTACCAACTAAGTTATACGGTAGCTATTTTCCATAAATGGAATGGGGAAAAACTGCAATTCATGACAATAAATACTTAATACATAAAGAGATGTTTCATTTTTTAAGGACTTTTTGCAAAGATGTATTAAAATTAACAATCCTGGGGCGTCTGGGTGGCTCAGTGGGTTAAAGCCTCTGCCTTCGGCTCAGGTCATGGTCCCGGGGTCCTGGGATCGAGCCCCGCATCGGGCTCTCTGCTCCGCGTGGAGCCTGCTCTCTCCTCTCTCTCTCTCTGCCTGCCTCTCTGCCTACTTGTGATCTCTGCCTGTCAAATAAATAAATAAAATCTTAAAAAAAAAAAAATTAACAATCCTCTCTGAGCATATTTAGTTAAATAAGATGCTTCAGAGCATTGTGGTCTGAAAATATGCAGGGAATGATTCCAATCTTTTGATAACGGTTGAGACCTGATTTAGGACCGAGAATATGATCTATTCTGGAGAATGTTCCATGTGCACTAGAGAAGAATGTGTATTCTGTTGCTTTGGGATGAAATGTTCTGAATATATCTGTGATGTCCATCTGGTCCAGTGTGTCATTTAAGGCCTTGAATAAGATGCATCTAAAAGAACAGTAACAAGTTAGAAGTCTTTAGACAAGTCTTGGTAAAGCCCTTCTGGTGTTCTTCCATGGAACTGAGAAAACTAGATTTTAAGTCCTGAAGGTACTGGGTTGAACTGTATCCCTCCATGGAAGATCTGTTCAAGCCCTAACCCCCACATCTGTGCATGTGACTTCATTGTGAATGCAGGGTCTCCGCAGCTGTAACTACGAGGAGGTCAGACTGGATTTGTCTGCACCCTAGTCTAATGACCGGTGTCCCTATAAACTGAGGGAAATTTGGACACGGACACAGAAGGGAGGATGCAATATGAAGACACAGACAGGGGTGACACATCTATGAACCAAGCAACACCAAGGGTTGCTAACCGCCATGAGAAGCTACGAGAAGGGCATGGAAGAGACTACCTGCCAGAGCCTAGGAGAAGGAACCGCGGAGAGGAAATGCCTGTGGCTCCAGGCTGCCGGTGTGTGGTGCTTGCTTATAGCAGCCCTAGGAAGCAGTCACGCCAAATAATAAATACTTATATAAAGCAGGTTTCCAATTCTCCGCTTTCAAGAAAGTTGAGTCATAGCTGACAGGGCTGTTAACTATGTAATTCTGGCATATCCCTGAATCTAAAGGTATTCAAATAATTAAATGACAGAGCCACAACAAAATTCCATCAAACCTCATTGAAGTATTGTATGTGAACAAGGTTTCTCAGTGTTTACATACTATATACTTTTTTAGAAGAAATGTAATTAATGGCAAAGTCTGTTTTTTCCTAACAATAGTAATATTCACTCATGGACACATAAATTAATTGGGGAAGGTGGAAGGTCCTTCATAACATTAAGGGATATAGTTCCACTAAATCATTTTCAGAAGTTGCATTATCTTCATATGTAAAAATAAGTAATAATTAAAATCAGGGGAAAAAATTTAAAATACTTTATCTTACATTCATAAGTTTTTTTAGACATTTAAACTTACCACAGGTATGCTGCAGAAAAAGATGGATAGAATGAGCAACTAAAAAAAATACTGTTCTTATTTAAGAACAAAAATACTTACAGGAGAAAAAATATAAGGGAAATGGCTCAGAAATAAGAATTCAAGCACAGAGAAATGTAAAATTTCTGACTGTTAAAAGAGAGCCTGTTATATGCATTAAAAAAAAAATGGATGATGATGTTTAGCAAGTCACTATAATGTTCTTAATCTACTGGATATGTTTAAAAGAGTGATGATTTTATTTTAAAACTGTAATGTTTATAATAAATGGGAAATTATATCTCCATTGCCAACTTACTGAACTTAAGATGAAAAATTTCAGATGGAAAGATAAAAATATTTTCAAATTCTTTTAAGGAAGAAATAAACAAACTGAAGACTGTTGCTTTACATGATGGAAAGCCTCTATCAGTTAAATAAGCCTTGACATTTTTAAAATGGTTCTCTCCTGAGATTTTATTCAGGATGGTATTATCTCAGTAAAATTTTTTGAAAAAAATTAAAAAATTAAATGGTTATCTTCTAGGAACTACTCTTAGAGCAATCCTTCCCTACCTGAATTGGATCTTCCAACCTTGCACCAAATATAAACTCTCTGAACATGAAATACATGTGTACAAATTTCCGCACACTCAACAAACCTGTTAAAAACGCTTGGTGTAGGACTGTGATCACGCTCCCGCTCTCTCTCTCTGGTGCGTTCTCTTTCTCTGTCCCGATCACGGTCTCGTTCCCGGTCTCTGTCTCGGTCTCTATCTCGATCTTTCTCTCTTCTTGAATAATAGTCCCACTGCTTGCTGGTATCCACAAGACTAGGCCATGAAGGAGCAGAACCAGGAAGGTGGGGAAAGGCAACTAAAGAAAACAACAATTAAAAACAAAAGTTATGGCACTTAAAAAAAAAAAAAACCTACTGAAAAGGACAAAACTCCCATCATAATTGCTTCATTAGATTATAACAGAAACCTGTTTTATAAATAGAAAAGATAAGTAACATATGGTGAATACCCACAGTTTGGGGTAATATTCAGAAGCAAACCTTAAAGACCTAATACATACTCTTCATTTGTCAAGATGAGCAGGAACCAGAATTAGATACGCCACACATTTTCCAACCAAAAACATAAACCAGACATCTTCAAAGTGTTGAGAGTAAGTAATGGCCAACCTAGAAATGTGTCCTCAACAAAATTAAATCTCAAGAGCAAGAATAAAGGGCATTTTTAATAGACTTGACTGAAAGAACTTCTATGAGATATACCTAATACATTCCAAGAGTAATCATTAAAATAACAGACACAGAATGTACCATTTCAAAACAATATAAGGAAAAACAGAATTTTAAAAATCACCTGAAAAACTCAGTTCAAAAAGACTTGGAAAAGGTAAGGGTTAGAGGGGACAAGTTTGATTAGTTCAATAAGCATAGTAATTCAAGAGACTCAATTCACCAGTTAAATAATAGTTTGTTGATTTGTACTTTTAAAAAATGTAAACAACAAAATAACCCTCTAACTATATTTTAAATATAAGAGACATATAAACACACAAAATGGCTGAAAGTAAAAGGAAGTTCGGAGGAACAGAAAACACCAATTCCCCCATCTCCATAGAAGCAGCTTGATTGATGAAAACAGACCCACACTGAAAGACTCCCTGGGACAGAAGGGCTGAGGACAGGGAATGGAAGATGCAGCTCACCAAGCAGATAGAACAAACGAAACTTCCAGGCTTTAATTTTTAGAGAGTAAAAACTAACATGAATACAGATAAAAATAGAAAAATCTACCATAATCATGGAAGATTAATATACTCCCAATTATTGCCACTTGAAGCAAACAAAAAAAATTCACTACAGATATAGAAGATTTGATCAAAACACTTTCAACAGGGTTGATTTAATGGACATAACATAGAATACTGCCCATAACAGTTAAATAATAATCACTCTTCTCACATATGAAACACAAAAATATACTACATACTTTTATACAATAAGTATAATAGGCACCAAATCTCCATACGTTTCAAATTAAAGACACATTTCTAAAAACTCGGAGGCCAAAAAATAATAAATTATAAATCATTTAGGAATAAACATAAAAATATAACATATCAAAAGTGTAGAGATGCAATCTGTTCTGGAGAGAAATTTAATCTTAAAAACACTACATTAGAAAAGATGGAAAATTAATGAGTTAAAGCTTTCAAAACTTAAGAACTTGGGCACAAACAGAATAATCCAACAGAAAGGAGATAATGAAGATAAAAGTAGAAGTAAACAGAAAAGAACCATACAATAAGAAAAAGCTGAAAGGTGGTTTTTTTTTTTTAAAGATTTTATTTATTTATTTGCCAGAGAGAGAGAGAGGGAGAGAGAGCAAGCACAGGCAGACAGAATGGCAGGCAGAGGCAGAGGGAGAAGCAGGCTCCCTGCTGAGCAAGGAGCCCAATGTGGGACTCGATCCCAGGACGCTGGGATCATGACCTGAGCCGAAGGCAGCTGCTTAACCAACTGAGCCACCCAGGCGTCCCTGAAAGGTGGTTTTTAAAGATTAGACAAATAAAGCATAACAATATTCTGACAAGATTAAGAAAAAAAAAAGAGGCCACATAAACAATCAGAACCAAAAAGAAACCCTAACTACAGATGTTGCGGAGATGAAAGAATACAGAAAATATACTTTATACCAATGCTTTCAAAAACTTGGCTGAAACCGACTAATTCCAAATAATCAATCAGTAACTTACCAAGAAGTGACTCAAGAATGAAAAGAAATCTTAACTACTCCCCTATGAAAGACACTCATGTAATTTAAAACCTTCCCAAAAGACTAGATGCTTTTTACAGGTGAGTTTTGCTAACTTATAAGGTACAGATCATTCTAATATTATATGAACTTCAAAGAATAGAAAAAAAAATTATTCCCTAACTTATCCCACGTGGCTTATATAACATTAATAACAAAACCAGTGAATGTGCCACATTCACAGATTAGAGAAGAAAAACAATATGATTATCTCAGAAAGCATTTGATAAAACTCAATATCCATTCACAGTTTAAAAGCTCTTGGAAATTTTCCTTGATCTAGGACCTTCCCTGATCTAGAACTCCACCGATAACCAAACAAACAGTAAAAGCCTAGTAATAAAATGTAAAAGGATTTTCTTTAAAAAAAAGAAAAAAAAAGTTTTTTCGATTAGCATTATACTGTATGTATAAATAAAACAAAAACTAAGCCTATTTCTAAATACAAGTAAATACAAACAGAACAAGAAGTTCAAATGAATATATCACCTAAAACAGCAACAAAAACATGAGGTATGAATCACTAAACCTAAGCAAAGATATGCAAGAAATGCTTGGAGATAATTACAGTATTTAACTGAAATATATTAAAGAACATTTCCATAACTGAAGAGAGTCCCTGTTCATAAATGGACTCAATGCTGTAAGATATGGTTTCCATACGAACTGATCTAAGCATCGACACCATTCCAATATGATTTAGTTAGAGCAAGGACTCTGGAGCCAGGCTGAATGGTTTCAACCCTCATTCTGCCACTTACTATGTGATATTGGGAAAACTACTGAATTTGGCCATTCTTCAACTATTCATGGAATAATAACAGTATGCCTACTTTATAAGGCTGTCAGGACTATATGAGTTAACAGTGTGTTGTCTAAAGTAAGCAAATACAAATGTAAGTTATTAATTAAAATTCCAATACAGTTTTTCGTGGAACTTCCAAGTTGATTTTAGAATGGGTATGTAAGAGCAATGGCCCAAGAATACTTCTGAAGCTAAATAGATAGATTTTGCTGAACCAGATAACAGATTTATTATAAAATTTGTAATTAAAATCGTGTGGCATTATTTCGTACAGTTAAATTTCAACAAATAATAATAGTAATAGTAATAATAATAATAGTCTAGGAAGCCAAGAGTCAGACTCAGGCATACTCGGAACCCTGTTCATGAATGGACAGGACATTGTAGATCCCTCAGAAAGGACAGACTATTCAACAGATGATACTGTGACAATTATATCTTTACTTCATAACACAGGCAAAGATGAATTCCAGATGGCTTAACACATGAAAAACAATATTTGAAAACATTTTGGGGGGAAAAAACTTGAGATGGATAAAGTCATAGTCAAATATGAACCCAATTTAAAATGTAGTATGACTTTACATGGCTGATAAAGTACAAGAAAAAAAATGGTATTTTAAATTTATTTGCCCTAGGGATCTTCTCCTTTCCAGGGCTCAAGTGTTAGAATTATCTCTATAGTATACAATAGTTACATAGTCACAGTAATATAGATATGGCTTATTGTTTAGCTTTTAGAATAAAAAATTTATCAGGGCATAGATAGTTTTGGTTACAGGACAGATAAAAACTTTTTTTTCTTTAGAGATTTTATTTATTTATTGGGGGAGAAGGAGGGAGCAAGGGGAGGAGCAGAGTGAGAGGGACAAGCAGACTCGGTGCCAAGCGCAAAGACTGACATGGGGATCGATCTCAGGGCCCTGAGATCAAGACCCACGTCGAAACCAAGAGTCAGATGCTTAACCAGCTGAGTCACCCAGGTGCCCTAAATATAAATGTTTCTAAGCAGAAGTATGGCTGACCAAAGCTGGTCAGCTTAGAGGTGAAGGCTTAGAAATTTGCACCGTAATAGATACTGACAGTGAAGGCTTAGAAATTTGCACAGTAATAGATACTGACAGTACATGAAACCAAGGGCATGTATATTTAAAAAAAAAAGGAGGAACAAAAATAGAGATATAAAATCATTGCTAGGGAAAAGAGAGGGGTAGTGATGGTAAGCATGCAAAATACACATCTATCAGAGGAGGAGGATAAAAGATGGTAACCATAGTTACATAAATCAAGAAACAGGGTGACAAGCTTATGGAAAAATGCCACGCAGACCCTAAGAAGAACTAAAAACCATCAAAAATGCTTTTCTCTTCAGTTCTTCAATAATTCTACAAAGATTACTTTTTAACTAGGTCTCATTTTATAAGCACAATCTTAATATGCACATCAAGAAAAATCAGTATTTCCATCTACAATTACGTCACAGTGTTTGAGGATACATTTCAAAATTATTTATTTATTTATTTTTTAAACATTTTTTTTTTTTAATTTATTTATTTGACAGACAGAGATCACAAGCAGGCAGAGAGGCAGGCAGAGAGAGAGGAGGAAGCAGGCTCCTTGCCGAGCAGAGAGCCCAATGCGGGGCTCGATCCCAGGACCCTGAGATCATGACCTGAGCCGAAGGCAGCGGCTTAACCCACTGAGCCACCCAGGCGCCCCTCAAAATTCTTAAATAAATTAACAAAGGTAAAACAGAATTACTAACAAAGAGGAAGCTGTATCTATAACCTTTTTTTCTTCAAAAAAATTTTTTTAAAGATTTTATTTATTTATTTGACAGAGAGAGCAAGAGCTCATGCATACACAAGCAGGAGGAATGGCAGAGGGAGAAGCAGATGCTTAATTGACTTAGCTACCCAGGCATCCCCCAAATTTTTAAAAACTGAATTCAATTTTTTTAACTGAAATATATTTGACACATAATATTGTGGAAATTTAAGATGTGCAACATGTTTACTTGTTCATTTGTAAACAATTATTATTATTATTATTATAATACAATTGCCATTGTAATGATAGCACCTCTATCAAGTCATATAATTATTACTTCTTTTTTGTGGTGGGAATAATTAACTTCAATTATTCAAGATACGTTAGAAAAAATCATTATATAAGCAGGTGTCATGGTACTTGATTATTCCTTATATATGGTAGAAATTGTATTGACCTAATTTTTTTTTTCAGTGTAGAAGAATTATTTTTTATTTAAATTCAATTAATTAACATATAATATATTATTAGTTTCAGAGGCAGAGGTGATTCCTCAGTCTTCTATAGTAGGCAGTGCTCATTATATCACATGCCCTCCTTAATGTCCATCATTCCACAGTTTTGTTTGATTAGGATGAAGAAAATTCCTAACTTTCTTCTCATTAATTCTTGCAATATGCTTTATAATTGTTATTACTAAAGAATTCCTTCATTTAAAAATGCTTCTCTCTGAGAGAGTTGGGGTTGGTAAAGAGTGAGCAGAAAACTTATTGATTAAAATTTGCATATATTACTTTGAGGAAAAAAATGCTTAATTAATATTTTTAAAAAATGAAATCTTCCACAAGGAAACTGTGTAGGTAATCTCAAAAATGAAGTCTTATTCTTTCTGATAGGGGCTATTTGTTCATGTGTATTCAAACAAATACAGAAGAAATCTCATGACAAAGCAGAAAATAACAAGTGACATAAAAAAGGTAAAAATAAAATTTTAAATAATTTAACAATGCTTACTTACATAATATAGGCACTTACATATTACATTTTACTGTGCTGAGCACTTTAGGCTCAAACTTTATTTTACAGAGAGGGAAAATGATTTAGGTTAACTTATCCCAAGTTGCTAGGATAATACAGACCCAGGACACACCCCCAGGTAACGGCAGGGCCTATGCTACACTGCCTCAGAGTGCAGAAAAGGAAGAGAACTTGGAGCTTGTTGGAGATGGGGAGGTATAATCACAAAAATAACAGCTAATATTTGGGTGTTTATTAAATGGCAGGTCTAAGGTGTTTTAATGTAGTCTCACTGAACCTCAACTTTATGAGGAAGAATTATGCTACTGAAGACCTATGAAAGTGACATAAATAATGAGAGGGAAAAGCAAGATTCTAACCCAAGGAGCAAGACTTTCTAGAAGCCCAGCAATAATGAATAAACAACCAACCAAATAATAAAAGATTGTTATAATCATTGAAATAAGTCAACCGACCACCTTTTGATGTAAATGAATGGCATATATGTAGTTGGAATAAGGCAGGTCTGAGGGACAGTACCACACTCCAAGAGAGATGCCTAGAAGGAAAATGGAAGGATACGACTGGTACTTGAGCTGCCACCAAGATTTAGAACTGCTGGTGTGTAAATGCCTTTGGAGTCATTCAGTGTTCTCCATCCCCAGTGGTACTACCTGAATATAAGACACCATCATTTCTTCCCCTGGATTATTCCAACAGCTTCTTGCTCTCCAACCAAATCAAGCATTTATGCCAGTCCTATCTTGCTACCCACCCTACAAATCCATAATTTCCTCACAGTAAGTAGCCAGAATGGACCTTTTTCAACTGTGAGTCTAGCAATTTCACAGCTCAGCATCCAACTAAATGGCTCCTCACAGCCCTCTGAATAAGGTTGAAATTCTAAATAGCATGGCTCCGACACCCTGCATCATCTCCTGTGTCAGCTCAAAACATTCATCATGCAACGCTACACTCCAGTCACCCCACATTTCCTTCAGTTCATAAAGCCTACCAGGTTCTCTCTCACCCCTGTGTCTCAGGACATGATCTGAACCTCAAATCATATCATCTACCTCTTCACTCCTTCTGGAGTGGGAGACCCCTCCACTATGCTCCCATGACACCTTCTTCTGCCACCTGGCTATTCCTCACTGGTCTATAAATTTGGTAAGGGCAAACTTAGGTTTAGTTTACAGTATTCCTAAAACCTAGTACAATGCATAGCATTTTTTAAAATGAATGAATGATCAAGAGATCTAACCAGAAAGTAGTAACAGAAGCCCCTAGAATGGATTATGTTGTCAAGAGTGAACAGGAAAGAGGACCCGGCCAGATGATCTACAAACAAAACAAAACAAAACAAAACAAAACAAAACAAAACAGCGAGGGCAAAAGAGGAGGACAATGTTAGCTGGATGCCATGACTCAAGAAACAAAGAAGATTCTGAACAAAGACTAAGACAGTTTGCTGACAAATCTTAAATCCTTTTAGGAAAAGGCAAGGTAAAACTCTCCTTGCTGTACCAACATTTCTTAATTTTTAGAAGTACAGTTGATAAAAAAATAAAAAATTATTCTGTTAAGTAACCTGGAATGTAAGACCTAATTATTCCATTAGTATTTTTAATTGCTCCGTGAGTTAGTATTTTAAACGATGGAAATATGTTTTCATGGCTTTTAAAAATATTGAAGTACTGGTTCAAATTGAATCTGGGCAACTAAAAATAATACTTACCATTGCCATATGGAAAAGCACGTGCAGAACGACTATCATAACCAGAGGAATGTCCACTGTTGAAGAAAAATATATTTTTATGTGTTGTAAGTTCTAAATTTTAATAGTTCGGTACAAATGCAAAACATCAAGGCAGAATTATGACTTTTACTTAACCATCATATAATGATAAAACTTAATTGTGTAATTTTATTTTTTAATAAAAAAACAGGCTTTTAACCTCAAAACATATTAAACCTAATACCCACTTGTAAAGAAAAACATAGCTTGCTAGTACTATTTAATGTGAATAATCCAATCAATTCAGCTTGACTCCCAAGATAACAGAAACTTTGAGGCTAACAGAGTACTTGAGATTTCACCAAAATTTAGTCTTAAAAAATGATTTTAATAATTCAGAAATTCAGCCCCACTGACAGGATAAACAAATAATACTTTTTAACATTCTGATTGAGAAAAATATATATTTAACAAAGACCTAATAAAATTAAATCCTCACAATTAAGACTGTTCTGAGTTGTATCATTTCCTTTTTGAAAATTCTGCATGGTTTGATCCCACTGATATAATGTTCTCACAACTTTTCTATTAATATAATTTGGATCACTTTCTCAGAAATACATTATTTTCATAAAAGTTTACTTGTTACTTAAAAGGAAACAGTATTGGCTCCCACATTTTTTTTAGTGAATTCCATTTGCTAAGAATTGTGCTGATGTGTTATATTCACCAGCTGTTTTAATCTTCACAACTTTATTAACCCCATCTAGTAAAAGGAAACTGAGTCTCAAAGAGTAGTTATGAACCTTCTCTAGCAATACAAAGCTAGGGAATTCTGAAGCCAAAATTCGAGCCAAATCTGAGCCAAAGCCCTATACTGTTAAACACTATACTGCCATCTATGAAGTAAATACTCCTTAGTACAGCATTACAACTAATATAAACCAGAAATGCGGGGTATAAAAAAGAAGGCTACTGCCATGCAGAATGGATCCAAGCTTCCTTTGTGGAAGTTGAGTTACACAGAGCAGGGCCATAAGGAGTAAGGCACTTTTATTATGGTTCCTGATAATAACTGTCCTTCCTTAATCCTAAAACAGACATTATTATTCACGATTACCAGTCATCTGTTTGGGTATCCCTCAAAAATTACTATAGCCAAGTTTTTACCAATCTAGAGGTTTCTTTAATCAGGGTATCAAATCAAAGCAAGATATTTCAAAATACCCTCATTTGTTTTCTCTATCCTGTTTTGTTACCGAACTGTTAAGTTCAACATCTTATGGAGAAGTAACTACCATAGATCTAGACTCATGACTTAAAAGACAGGTACTACTTAATGTTTACAAAATTAAATCTTTGAAAATACTACCAAGATATGGATTTGACTTTTCTGGCAAAAGTCTACCAATGATAAAAGTTTTACCCTATTCGTACTGATTTACCTTTCTATTGTTGGTATAAGAGATGGAGGTGGAGCGCCTGGTGGAGGAGGAAAACCTGAAACATTCAATCATAAGATAAAAAAAAGTTAACAGAATGTACTTTTAATGTCAAGTGTAAAACAAAGTTGCTGCGTATCACTAAATTTCTCTGGGGACATAATGTGCTTCTCTATGTTATAATGGACAGAAAAAAATGGAGCTTAAACTTAATAATAGATTTTTTTGAGCAGTAAAACTTTAAATGAACAGTCTGGTCTAACACACAGAGCACAAACTGGGAGTCAGGACACCCGGTCTTATTTTCAGCACCACACACAGCCCATTTTGTGAGTATGAGAAAGTTAATCTCAATGCCTTACCTTATCCATATATAAAACGGTAGTAAGTATTGCCAACAGATATGTTATACTTGAAATACTTTTGAAGAAAAGCAAATAAAATAGCATTTACCTCTTTCAAAAAATATTTTGTGCTTTAGATGTGTAGAAATTTCCTTACGATATATAATTATAAATAAAATCTTACCAGTAAATATATAAATGCTTAAGGCTGAGAATATCCCTCATAAAATATGTTTTAAATAGCACAACCCTAAAGAACTATTTTACAAAGAAGGGCATATAATATAGTTTTCGTTAGTTTGGAGAAAATAATTTGCACCTTTATATCATGAAGTCTGTATTCTCAATAATTCATAATACCTAAATGAAAGAACACAGAATATGGCTAAAAGGGACCTTAACAGTTTATCTACTCTGCACTTTCAAATTCAGATAGGCAATAAAGCATCCCAAGAAAAGACTTTAAGATTCAACTTAAATAACTTAGGATACCAATTCCTTCCCAAGTTTTAACAACCCTCACTATTGGGAAATGAATTAAATTCTGGAATTTAGATGTCTCACACTACAATTCATAGGCTGTCCTGAATGAGAACCAGAAGTAATCCATTATCATATTCTCTATCGCCCTCTGCATACTTGAAAACACTTCCACTAGCCTCCTCCTTTAGTATTCTATGTAAAAATGAATCCCAGTTCTCTAAACCCTTCTCAAAGTCCATTTAAATCACTTTTTGGAACTGCTACAAGTTGTTTCAAATTCACCATGCTTATCTTCACTATACCCAATTTCAAGATCTGTAACTCCTCTATTAAGCATCTCAGAACTATGAAGTTATTAAGCAATGACCACAATCCTGTCTTAAACAGCTTTTCAACCACATTTCCTTTTAAACTAGACACACCAATGGTTCTTTTATGACTTGTCCTGATAAGCCTTTTTCAGCCACATTGATACACAATCAGCGACTCACTATTCCACAACTAAATATGTGTACTGTCCCATGCTACCTAAACTCCCCTATTTCTCTTTATCAAAGCCATTTTTGAATTCAGACAAACTCTTCCAAGCATGGTCACCTCTCCTTTTCTTTATATTCTTTGGCTCTGGATACTGAATTCAGTAACAAATACACTTGCTATCATATTTGCATCACACTTTAAAAACACTGAAAAAACAACACTGAAAAAGTGGGAAAAACCACCCTTGGTCACACATAAACTATTGATCACACCATTACAACAATCAACAATTTCACCACTCTAAGAACAACCATCTGACCAGTTGTCTATCTATCTAATTGTACGGTTCAGAATGTATTTTCTCACAATACTGAATTTTGCCAGCAGGGTAAAAAAAAAAAAAAAAAATCAGAAACCATGATAAGGTCATGATAAATGATCTTTCTCTTCTTCTGCAGTTGCTTTATCATATAAAAAAATTCACTGGTCTGAAAAAAACTTTTTCATAAAAGTCTTATTTTATATTCCATACTGTTTTCTTGAACAAATTGATAAGGTGAGAATTTTCTCAGAATCGCTGTTTCTACAGAAATGGGTAAGACAGGTATAAGAAAACTAAGTATCTTAATCAAAACTGGAATGAAGCAAAGGCAGAGCTGAAAATAGGACCTTGAAACCCCAATAGCCTATTCCATAGTCTAACCACATCGACACTGTCCCTCCTGTAACTCTAAGCTTGAAATTTCATGTTTATTAACAATGATGGAGAAAACATGAAAAAAGTTTTACCTGGAGGTGGTACAGTTATTGGAATACCTAAAAAACAAGTGATGAAATTTAATATAGTAATTGGATTTTATAACCTGTTATGTATTTATGCCATCACCAAAAAAAAAAAACAAAAAACAAAAACCTTTGAAAATAAAACCCCTCGCCTCATTTTCCTGGCTTATTCACTCAAAAGAAGCATTCTGTTTTCTTGCAGAGGACCAACAATTCCAGTATAACATCCGACTTCCTGATGAAAACCCAGTCTAACAACTTGGTAACAAGATTTCCCCTACTAGGTGTAATCACAAACAAAGTTAGACATCAGTTGAAAAAGCACACTTGTGCATTTTTAGTGCACAAATATCAAACTCCATGAAATTAACACTAAATCTGATAATCAACATCTGATCTTATTTAATATTTTAATAGAGAAATTATCAATGGGATCTTTATACTGAAGGTAATACAAGGTAATTCTGAAGATGATGACTTTCCACTTTAGTAACTAAATTTTGTGGGACATTCAAATGCTGATTTGGATCATTTTACTGTTGTTTGACAGGACTAGGGAAAGGCTATTATTTGCTCTGATTTGTGGGAGTAGAAGAGGGGGATATAGCCAATTCATATATATATATACACCCCCAGGGCACATTAAATGTGGACAATTTATCTATAGGAGTCAGTAAATACTAATATGAGTGACTCTCATTCATTTGCACACATTATAAACTTTAAGAAATATACTATGTATAAATAACATTCTCAATTTACATTGGTCAAATGTGCCCTTAAATCCTAATGTAAAAGTTATGCGACATACAAATTCTACTTTTTGTTTGAAGAAAAATGATATTTCTAAGTAGGAAAATAGAAAAAAAGTTTTTTTCATGAAAAATTTTATACCAGAACTTCAACGTAGAATGTTTTTACTGATCCTATCTTAAAAACTGCATCAAAATTAGTCCAAAAGAGGGGGAAAAAGTAAAATTCATTAATTAAATGCATGGGAAAAAGTAATGAAAACAATTACTTTTAAATGTTTTGTCAATGGAAACATCTGCTAATAATTTGGAATTTTTCTGTGCATGTTTTACCAGAATAAGAGGTTTATATAAAAAAAACTTAAGGCAGCCAGTGGCTTTAAAATGGAAAATGAAACACCTGATTTAACCACCCACCCATACAATAAAAAGATATGCTAAACTTACAATACCAACAATACTGAAAACGATATGTAAAAGACATGTAAAGCCATTATTTTTCAAAAATCGTTAGACCTCCAAATGTCTACTAACTCAATCTATACTTAATGGCAATTATCCTCCATCCTGAAGTTACCTTACTGCTTCCTAAATTACTGAGCTAAAAGAATCCAGCAAACAATACAAGCTACCAAGCACCCCAGACACCATACTAAATGGGAAAAGAAAGGCAGAGCATATTGAACTTTCTTAATATCTATACACTAATTTTCTTTGAAACAATATAAAGTCTTTTAGAGCACTGTTTAACTTCACTATGTGATCTAGTTTTTACATTAAAATACATTTTTGTTTGTTTTTTACATGTATAGTAGTCCCTTCTTAGTCATGCTTTCCACAGTTTCAGTTATCCGCAGTCAACCACATTCTGGAAGCAGGTGATCCTCTTTCTGATGTACTGCCAGAAGGTCAACAGTAGCCTAATGCTATGTATGTCACAGTGCCTATGCCATTCACCTCATTTCATCTCAGGACATAGGCATTTTATAAACTCATGTCATCATAAGAAAGGTGAGCACAGTACAACTGAGATATTTTCAGAGAGAGAAGGAGAGATCACATTCAAAAAACTTTTATTACAGTATATTGTTATAATTGTTCTATTTTATTATTATTGTTAATCCCTTACTGTGTCGAATTTATAAATTAAGTTTTATCATAGGTTATGTATGAATAGGAAAAAAACATAGCATATATAAGGTTCAATGCTATCTACCATTTCAGGTACTCACTGGGGGTCCTGGAACAAAGACCTTGCAGATAAAGGTGGGGAGGTGGGGAACTACAGTATAAGGTAACTGTATGAAATTCAGCAAACCACTCTATAATCCTAATAAACTACTTAAATGAACACATGAGCAACATATATCACTCTAACTAAAATTCACTACAGCTTACTAAAATGTGAATTCATGCAAAATAACTAAGAAATTACTAATCAGGCCTCTCAAAATTTAGTCTTCAAAAACTTCTGTCAAATTTTCAGAAAACAAAGATAAAAAGACTTATCATCAAATTATTAAATATGCCCTGAAGGTTGTTAAAATTACAGTCTGCTTTTAATTTTAATCTCACTACAACAGTATTATAGGACAGGTTTTTAAAAAATCAACTGGAAAGAATTCCCAAAAAGAAAATTCATGCTATATGTAAAGATGTCATTCTAGTCACTATCTACTCATCACAAAGTTAGCGTGAGAACTAAAAAAGGCCCTTCTTGTGAGGGCTGTATTTCATCTAAGATATTTCAGTACAAATCCTTATTAGTAAATGTTCACTGAACAAGAACCATGAAGTTGATGAAACACAATACAAATCAATTCTTTAGTATTATCAGATGTACTTTCAAAATGCAATACAAAAGTTTATTATGTGACACAGTGTTGGTTCAATGTAATTCTTATACAAAACTCACGATTTAGTATTTGACTTTTGTTAGCAAAAGAAAAACAACACAAGGAAAAAGAAAATTGGTCTCAAAAATTCCTGTCCTCACTCTCAACACTCCCACCTTTCTGAGCAACACACGTGCTGCCTAACCAACAGGCTGAAATTACACGAGGGAAGTACTGTGTTTCACGGTTTCCTTTATCTGTAAAATGAGTAGGACAAAAATGTTGATTTCCCTGGAAAGCTTTGCATAACAGTAATAAGAGTAAGATTTCTAGTACTGTAGGCCAAAGCTTTTGGAAAAGTAAGATTCAAGTTCTAACAGGACTGGATAGATTATTGGTTTTGAAACTTTAGTGACCATCAGAATCACCTGGAGTTGGTTAAAACATAGACTGCTGGGTCTGCTGAATTTCTGATTCAGTAGGTCTGGAATGGGGTCCGAGAATCTGCATTCCTAACAAGGAGATGCAGATGTTGCTGAGCAGCGACCATACTTTGAGAATCAATAAATCAGATCCTAAACCTCTCTACAGATTGCACTGCTTAACAGCTCAATATTCAATACACATAAATTCCATTTCAAATTTTCATGAAACGAACAAAGCATGTGACACCCTTAAGTAAAATAATTGAGCTATATGATAGCCTATGCTAACTATCTGGCATCTTCAGAAGAATCAGATTGACTTTTTCCAGTAATGCACACTCTTCAGTAGAAAGCATGTGGTGCTGGTGGTGGTGGTGGCGGCGGGGGGCGGGGGGCACCTGAAATTCTATTTGGGAACTAAAGGAACCGAAGCAAAGAAATAGAAAGGCAGCAGCGCTGTGATATTTTTGTTCTTGTTTTTGTTTTAAAGATTTTATTTGACAGACAGAGATTACAAGTAGACAGAGAGGCAGGAAGAGAGAAGAAGGGAAGCAGGCACCCTGCTGAGCAGAGAGCCCCATGCAGGGCTCGATCCCAGGACCCTGGGATCATGACCTGAGAGGAAGGCAGAGGCTTTAACCCACTGAGCCACCCAGGCACCCCATACTTTTTGAAAGGTATTTAACTATATTTTTAAAATTTAAACAACATTAATAGAGGCTCTGCAGTCAACAATAACAACAAATAAAAATTGTGTATGAACTCTTTCTCAATGCAGTCCATCATTGTTTTTCTAAGGCAGAAAAGAGTATATATGCTAGGGTAGCCTCTGATACGGCCTCTAATGATCCCTGATAGCAGACATTTATGTTTTTTCTTCCCCCCAAAGATTTTACTTATTTATTTGACAGGAAGACACATAGCGAGAGAGGGAACACAAACAGGGGGAGTGGGAGGGGGAAGCAGGCTTCCTGCCGAGCAGGGATCCTGATGTGGGGCTCGATCCCAGGACCCTGGGATCATGATCTGAGCAGAAGGCAGACGCTTAATGACTGAGCCATCCAGGTGCCCCCATTTATGCCTTTTTATACCTTTGGTATTTATACCCTCCCCGAATATGGGCTGGATATAATGACTTATTTCTAACAAACAAAATCCAGCAAAATGATGGGATGTCACTTCTGTGACTAGACTAAAGACAGTGACTTCTATTTTGTTGGAGTCCTCTACAGTTTTCTTGGCATGCATGCTTTCCTGAAGCAAGCTGCCATATAGGAGAGGAAGTGAATCCTGACTGTAACAAAGACGTCAGTAATCTTGAAAGAGTATTTCCTCAGTCAGGTCTTTGAGATGACCATCCCAAAGTCTGTGGCAGACTGAAGCAGAGGACCCAGCTAAGCCTTCCCCACATTCCTAACTCACGAAAACTGTTCAATAAATACATCTTGTTTTAAGTCACTACATTCTGGAGTGATTTGTTACTCCACAACAACTAACAAATATATAGAATAACTACCTATCATTTCTTTATTAAGTTCAAGTGAAAGAAAACATGGCCGAATTATGCAAATTATGCTTCCAATTTCTCACTGGTAACTTCTAAATTTCATCAGCGCTATTATGTCACAAATCAAAGCTTGCTCATTTTAATTCTAACTGATTTCTACTTCTAAATCAAGCCTGTAAGTAAATTCTGCACAAAGAAATTGAGTACATAAAGTCAAGGTTTATAAAAATCTTTAAGTATTACCTTCCACTACATGCTTTTCTGTGCATCAATCTTACACATACACACACACACACAGACAGTCTAACATCTGCCCTTTAAAAATAACAGCCTATTTTGAGATTACTGAGAATACTGATAGGCTACTGGGTTTTGTTTTTTTTTTATATATATTAAAAAAAAAAGAGAGAAGATAAGTACAGTTCTTAAAAATCTCAAGGAATTCAGGACACCTGGGTGATTCAGTTGGTTAAGCAGCTGCCTTTTGCTCAGGTCGGAATCCCAGGGGTCCCAG